GAGCCGAAGGCAGTCGCTTAACCAACTGAGCCACCCAGGCGCCCCTAAAAAACTGTGTTTTAAAAGTCAACGAGCACAGAAGTTTATAGAGTGAAAAGTTAGAATTCACCACCCTTATTTCCCATTCCCCACAGGCTGTTATTAATTACTTCCGTTACCTTAATGGATTAGGGTTGGGAAGGTTTGGATTGGAACTTTCATTGTTCAAGGATTCAAAAATTGGAAAAAAGAAAGCAGCTCTGAGCATGGGACCAGCTTGGTGGATCTGACCCTGGAAATTTACTCCTAGCCAGAACTGGTCTGTGGGAGGTTATTTCTTGTAAAAAAATCTTTTCTGTTGGAGCCCTTGGGTGGCTCATTCAGTTAAGCATCTGACTCTTGATCGCAGCTCAGGCCTTGATCTCAGGGTCGTGAGTTCAGGCCCAACGTTGGGCTCCACACTGGGCGTGGAGCCTACTTAAAACAAACCATCTTTTCTCTCAAGGGACCAGAATGAATTTTCCTTGTCAGTGTTATATTCCTTGAAATTGTACAAGTTATAGAATGATTAGGTATTAACACCCTTCTTTGATAATGCAAATACTTAAAAAAGTTAGTCATCTGCCACTTCCATGTTGATTAACACAATCAAAATGCTGTGCTCCTAATATTTATGTGAGGTTGACTCCACTGAGGGACAGGAGTAGAGACGAGGAGAAAATGACAAGGGAGATGAGGGAGGGGGCAGGGAAGTTCTTCCTACTCTGACACCGCAGTGAGGCCCCGAGGAGGCACTGATACCAGGAACTAGTGAGAAGGAAAGCACTTAAGATGCTCAGAGCTTCCAAGAAAGAGAAAGTAAACATTCTATTCTTCTTTCTTGTACCTCCCAGGATCAGAAATGTGGGCTAATACCAGTTATCTATAAATTCAGCACAGCCTTTGACCAAGCCGTCCATGAAAACCTTGTGACTAAGATAGGGGCTCACAGACTGGATGGGTGGTGGTTCGGGCCTGTGGGTTGGTAATATACGCACGCTCGGTGTCCAGCAATGCTCAATTTGGGATCCCTGTTGTCTTATAGGTGTGTTGTGAGTCTTTCCTTCACCCTGGTCTACCCAGTATTTTTCATGAATAACTTGAATAAAGAAATCTGTTTATCATGTTTGCAAATTATGTTACCCAGAATGGTTAATACTAATTATATGAGAAATAGGTTTTTTAAAAGAACCACAGAAGGCATTGAATAGGGTTAAATGTAAATTGTTACTTTTGTGAAGGCCTAGTTTGACAGTCTACATAAAGTATCTGGAGTTCTTACAGAACTTCAGGCTGCTACCCTGAGACCGATGAAGTGTTTTGTGGGGAATACAGAAATGGCAGAGCGACAGTTGAAGGGACAGTTGGGTGGCCTAGAGAAGAGACGGCTTAAAGGGCCAGTACTCGTGAGTGCACATGGAAGAGCGCAGTGAATCGGCCGTGTTCCAAAGCAGTCAAGCAGAAGTTCTAGAAAGACAGATTTCAGCTGGGAATAAGGAACTTCTAACAGTTGTGTTTCTCACGAAGAGGTAGTTACCCGTAACTGGCCCCAGCAAGCAAAGGCTAGATAACGGTCTCTCTCGGGTGTTATAAAACAGAGTCCACATCAGGTGCAAGGCTGAGCTCAGATGGTTTTCCCAGGTCTTTTATTTTTATGTATATATATTATTTATATTTTCCTTCCTCCAGAAAGAGTTTGAGGCCTCTGTACATGGTCTTTTCCAACTCTGAGCATGTATAAATTGTAGTTGAATAACTTCTGATGAAATGCTTTTTGTAGGGGCTCCTGGGTGGCTGAGTCGTTAAGCGTCTGCCTTCGGCTCAGGTCATGATCCCGGGGTCCTGGGATCGAGCCTCGAGTCGGGCTCCCTGCTCAGCGGGAAGCCTGCTTCTCCCTCTCCCACTCCCCCTGCTTGTGTTCCCTCTCTCACAGTGTCTCTCTGTCAAATAAATAAACAAATAAAATCTTAAAAAAAAAATTAAAGAAATGCTTTTTGTAGTTAGCTTAAGAACCTTACGCTCCAGATACTCTGGCTGCTTGCAAGAGGTAACTTACAAGTTGGTCCAGCCTCAGCTGGAGACACCTATTCTTGGGAGTAAGTCCCTCAATTTTGATTACAGAGAACAGGATGGATTATAAATTAGAGGGACTGGTTTTGTTAGGACGATCTAACTGAATTTACATGTTACTCTCTTTTTTTTTTTTTTTTTAAAG